CTAAACAATTCTTAAAAGCAAGACTTAACAGGATCAAATTACCTGTTTCCTAGTAACGTAAGCACATCCCAGGACAAAGATCAAGAATAGTTATAGGAATACAAAATATCCAGCACTCAACAAGGTAAAATTCACAATATTGATATTCAATAAAAAATACCAGGCATGCCACCACTATGGAAAACAGTATGGAGCCTACTCAAAAAATTAAAAATTACTACCCATATGACCCAGCAATTCCACTTCTAGATATTTATCCAAATAAAATAAAAACACTAATTTGAAAATATATGCACCCATATGTTCATTGCAGCATTATTTACAATAACCAAAATTTGGAAGCTACCTAGGTATCCATCAACAGATGAATGGATAAAGAAGATGTGGTATATATTTATATATATAATGAAATATTAGCAATAAAAGGGAATGAAATCTTGCAATTTGTGACAACATGGATAGATCTAGAGGGTATTATGCTAAGTAAAATAAGTCAGAGAAAGACAAATACCATATGATTTCACTTATATATGGAATGTAAAACAACAAAACAAAACAAGAACAGATTCATTGAAACAGAACAAACTGATGGTTGCCAGAGGGAGAGGTGTAAAGGGATAGGTGAAAAAGGTGAAGGGGAATAAGGAGTACACACTTCCAGTTATAAAATAAATAAGCCATGGAAATGTAGTGTACAGCACAGAGAATGTGTGTAGGCAATAATATTGTAATTAACTTACTATGGTGACAGATAGTTACTAGACTTAGTGTGGTGGTTATACTGTAGGGCATACAAATGCTGAATCATTATGTTGTACACCTGAAACTAATACACTATTTTTAAAATATATTTTTATTCATTTCAAAGAAAAAGGGAGAGGGGGGGGAGGGAGGGAGGGAGAGAGAGAGAGAGAGAGAGCGAGAGAGAGAGAGAGAAACATCAATGATGAGAGAGAATCACTGATCAGCTGCCTCCTACATACCACACACTAGGGGCCAAGCCCACAACCCAGGCATGTGCCCCTAACCAGAATCGAACCGGGGACCCTTTAGTCTGCAGACCAACATCATGAGAGAATTATTGATAGGCTGCCTCCTGCACGCCCCACGCTGGGGATCGAGCCTACAACCCAAGCATGTGCCCCAACGGGAATCAAACCATGACCTCCTGGTTTGTAGGTCAATGCTTAACCACTGAGCCACGCCAGCTGGGCAGAAACTAATACACTATTGATGCCCACTGTAATTTAGTATAGTTTTAATAACAAAAATTACCAGGCATGCAAAGAAGCAGAGAAATGCAACCCATAAAGAGAAGAAAAAGCAATCAACTGAAACTGAGTGAGAAATGACAGAATCTGTAGACAAGTAGATTGAAACATGTATTATGTGTACATTTCATTTGTTCAGAAGCTAGAGGGAAGACTAAATATGTTAAGTAGAGACATGGAAGATGTGGAAAAAGATTCAAGTTGAACTCTAGAGGTGGAAACTACATTGTCTGAAGTGAAAAATATATTGGGTGGGATTAACAAGAGATTATTCAGTTCAGAAAAAATATATTAGTGAACTTGAAGGCAAAGCAATAGAAACTATCCAAAATGAAACACAGGGATAAAAGACAAAAAATTAATTGGCATTAGTGAATTGTGGGACAATATTGAGTGATCAAATATACCTATAATTGGAGTCCCCAAAGGAGACGTGGTGGGAAACCAAAATAAAAACTGAAAAATGGTTAAAAATTTTTCAAATTTGATCAAAACTAAGCCTACAGATAAAAACAAACAAACAGATTTTAAGCACCAGAAGCATGAAGAAAACTACACCAAGTCTCATAATTAAATTGCTTAAAAATCAATGATAAAGAATAAAAGTAAAAGCAGACAAAAAATGACATACAGAAAAAGAAAGATTTTTAAAAAGATTAAATGTTTTCTCTGAAGATCAGGAACAAAAGTAGGATGTCTAATCTCATTACTTCCATTCAACTTTTTATTGGAGGTCCTATTCAGTGCAATAAGGTAGGAAAAAGAAATAAAAGGCATCCACATTGGGAAGGAAATAGTAAAACTGTCTTTTCTCAGAAGACGTAATTGTCTATGTTAGATACCAAAAATCTACTAGAAGTAATAAGTGAGTTTAACAATGTTGTGGGATACAGGTAGATATAAAAGAATCAATTGCATTTCTAGATAGCAGCAAACAATAAAAAATTTAAATTTAAAAAGCAATACAATTTATCATAGAATAAAAATATGAAATACGTAGGGAAATATATGAGAAGAGGTGTGTAAAACTTGCACATTGAAAACAACAAAACATAGCTGAGAAGACCAAAGTAAATGGAGAAAAATGGGTTGGGAAACAGAATATTGTTAAGATTTCAATTCTCCCTCGTTTGATCTATAATTCAATGCAATGCCAATCAAATAACCAGTAGGCATTTTTTAAATAGAAATTGACAAGCTGATTCTAAAGTTCATATGAAAATGTGAAGGACCTAGAGGAGCCAAAACAAGTTTGAAAAAGAAGAATAAAGTTGGGTAGATAACACAAATTGATTTTGAGACTTCTTATAAAGCTATAGTTATCAAAATAGTGTTGTATTGGCATGAATATCTACAAAATCATCAATAGACTATAAAATAGAGTCCAGAAATAGATCCACACATATACGATCAATTAATTTTTCAACAAAATTGCAGAAACAATTTAACAAATGCTGGAACAATGGGATATCCACAGGCAAAAAAACAACCACCACCACCAACAGAAATACTTTTATTCCTATCTCACACCATACACAAAAATTAACTAAAACATCATAGTCCTCAGTCTAAGAAATCATAAGAGAAAATCTTCCTGACCTTGGGTTAGGTAAGCACTTCTTAGATATGACACTAAAAACACTATCTATTATGTAAAAACTTGATAAACTGGACTTTATCCAAATGAAAATCTTCTGCACTTTGAAAGACACTAAAGAAAGAATGAAAATAAAAATCACATACAAGAAAATATTTTCTAATCACGTTTGTGAGGATATAGACTGGAATGCTCACATGCTGCTGGTGGGAACATAAAATAGCACAACCGGTTTGGAAAATAAGTTTGGCAGTTTCTTAAAATGTTAAACACATACACCTACCATACAGCCCAGCCATTCCATTTCTAAATATTTATCCAAGAGAAATAAAGCATATGTCCACATATAGACCTGTTCACAAATGGTCTGATCAACTTTATTTCTAATACCTAAAAAATGGAAACAACCCAAATGTCTACCAACAAGTGGAAGGATAAATAGTGAACAAATAATTATATATTTATACAATGAAATATTACCAGCAATAAAAAGTAATGAACTATTGGTACACACTATAACATGAATGAATCGCAAATTAATCATCCTGGGTGAAAGAAACTAGACCCCACCCCGCCCTCGCTGAAAAAAAGTACATTCTGAAAAATTTCATTTGCACAAAATTGTAGAAAAAGTAAACTCAGCTATAGCAACATATCAGTGCTTGCCTGAGGATACGGAGCAGGAAAGGATGGTGGGGTTTGGGGTGGAGAATACAAAGGGTCATGAGAAAACTTTGGGGGTGACAGGTACATGCATTATCTTAATTGTAATGGTTTCATGAGTGTATGCGAATGTCAACACCTATCAAATCTTGTACTTTAAAGATTTATAATGTATTACATGTCAATTATATTTCAATAAAGCAGTTAACTTTTTAAATTGATTAAAATGGAATAAAATTAAAAGTTCAATTCATCAGTGACCCTAGTAACAGTTCAAGTTTTTAATTGCCACATGAGGCTAGTGGCTACCATTATGGACTTCACAGAATAGAACTTTGCCATCAATGCTCAAAGTACTATTGGACAGCACTGACCTAACACATACATATAAAAGCACCTGTTCCTTTCATTTTCCCTACATCTTCCTACCCCAAACCTCAAGAATGGGAATAAGCATGTCAGCAGGACACTGATAAATGAATTACCTGGGAATTTTAAAAGGCATTTTTATTAAGTTCAATGGAACTTTAATGAACAATATACCTTCATTCATAAACACATAAAGCACAGTGTTTCCTCATTTAGACATTACAGCTTCTATAGATTACATTTAATTAGTTCCCCCCAAAGCTCAAGATGAAGGCAATTTTAAACTAAATGACATGGAAGGAACTGAAACAAATAACACTGGATTGGAACTTACTTTATCCTTGTAATCAAAGTGGTTATAGCTTTAATATAACTCCTAAGTGAGAATATACATTTTTTTCATATACTCACAGATGTCTTTGTGAGTTCACTTTTGTTTTGTTTCAGAATATGCTACACAATGCAACTGAATTTTCCTATTTAAAAAAAAATCAAGCATATAACTCACAGCAAATATAATCAAAGTTTCAAATGTGAGAACAGACCTTAAAATAGAGTGCTACGGTATACACTGAAATCTTAACCATTGAAAGAAAAGTTCATAAAATTAGGACAGGAAAGTTGTTAAAACTTCGTATTCTCGCTGAATGCCTTTGTCCTTCCCTCATTACAGCTCTCAGTTTTGAGAGAGGTAATTTTATTTAAAAAGACATGGAAATCAATAAAAAATGAAATTAAAAGACTTGAACTCTGTTTTCTGTCCCCACCGTTGTAGCCTATAGACTTGGAAGGCAGAGTGTGCCTGCTCGGTGTTTTTGTTTCCGTACACAGAATGCAGGGCTGAAATCCTCAACCGTCCCTGTTCCAAAGCCTGACCCACTAACCCTTTATGCACAGTTTGATGTCTGGGTCACCTGCCTCAGACATGTAATATGGAAAAAGACTTTTGTAAGGGGGAGAAGGGAGGCTGGTGGCCAGTGCAGACCAACCAAGTACAAGCCCCCACCAGTGTCTTGCAGTAGATAAGCAAGAGTATAAAAATAGAAGCCAAGTCCCTCTGTTGTTTGCAGAAGCAGAACTCACAAGCCAGTTTCACTTACTTTTTTACACCGACAGAGCCATTTTCCTTGTTTTCCATGTCAACAGATAGCATGGGAAGGCTGCAGGGTTCCTTTACTTCAGCAACTAATCAATAAGGGAGAAAAGCTTGTGTTTAATTCTTAGAAAGTGAGAGAAGAATATATATTCTGAACCGGAAACATAATGCTTCCTTCACAGCTTCACACCAGTGCACGTATGTTTGTTTAAATCTCCAGTTCCCTCGGCGATTGGAGAGATGTGATTAAACCTAAGGAGCTGGAGGAGTCGGATAGGGGTGCTTTCCTCTGTGCTGGCACTCCCTGCCTTGACAATAAGCATTTGCAAATGAAATTGAATCCTTGTTCAAAACAAGTTCTGTGTGAACTGGCACAGCTTCCTCTGGGTCCAAGCTCTCACTTAAGACATTACAACTCACAAATGAGCCCAAGTCCTGGGAAAAAAAAAACAATAAAACAAAAAACAATCCCTCTTTTCCTGCCCCTTCCCACCGTGGGCTGCACTTTCTTTTTTCTTATTGCATTTGTTTTGTTTGCTCCCACTCTTTCTATATTTTTTTTTCCATAGCAATGCCAAAGAGCACTTAAAGCTTTTGTCAGCAAGTATCCTCCTACCTCACATACTCTCAATGAAAAAAGCCTCAAAACCCTGGGAGATGGCCATGCTGGGAGCTCACAAAAATGTCAGATAGCCCTCAGCACAGGAAGGTGGTGCTGGTGGGAGCGTGTGCGTGTAAGAGAGGGAAGGCAGCTAATCAGATTTATGTTTTAAAAATCACCAAAACATTCAAGGAGATAGAAAAGCATCCATCACTTTATCTTTTTGTTTAGTAGGACAAGGACTGTGAAAAAACAAACAAACAAAAAAAACCCTCCGCAACTAATATGCAATTAGCAAGATGAAAAAGCTATGAACAAAACTGCTTTCAAAAAAAACCCCCAAACACACAAAAAAACTAGTTCTGAAACGAGCTTGCTCTTGTACAGCTGAAGCCATAAATTAAAGACACTTCTTCTCCCATCACTTCACACTCCTTCTCCGGGGGCGACTCTGACATGGCAAGTGCATCCTTCGGTGCATTCGCGAGCTGTGCCCAGTCCGAGGAGGGGCGGGTCGGCAAACACTCCTGCGAGGGGCTCACCTCACCACGCGCACACTCATCACACTCACACTCACACTCACACACACTCATCACACTCACACACACTCACACACGCCCCCGCGCTGACCCTCCGACACCCCTGGAGGGAGCCAGCCGCGCACCCAGGTGACCAGCACCCAGATGACCAGCGCGGACACCCCGCCGCGCGGAGGGGCCGAGGGGCCGGAGGCTGCCCCCCGCCCGCCCGGGGAGGCTGTCACTGCCGTTGCAAACTGTGGACAGAGTCACCATTTTCTAAGCATCTCAGCGAACACCACAAAAACAAAACACTCACAGGGATACTGTGTAGCACCCCCCTACACTGTCTTAATATTTGCTCTTTTTTGGGGGGGGGGGGAGAGTAAAAAGAAAAACCTACCTAGAAGCAACTAAAACATGTCACTTTTTTTTTATAGGCTTATCAAGAACAGCCAAAGAAACCCCAATGTTTTCTTTCACAAAGTAGGCTGGCAAAGGAATTCAACAAGGAGGGACAATTTGACACCGTGAAGCAGCACCGGGCTGGCGCGCCGCCAGCGTGACGTTGGGACTCGCACACGAGCTGCACCAACTGCCGGGCGGCTCATGGCGGCCTTTT